GTGTGTCACACTTTTTTCAATTAAAGGGAACTAACTTTTAAATATCTCATCTTCCTCTATATAAAAAATGTGAATGTCAGTATATCACCGTGCCACACATTTTAAACTTTACTTCTACAGGCTGTAGCTCAACATATCATACCATTTTGGAATCAGGCTGACTGTATGAGCAAATTAAAAAAATTCTGGGACAGATCCAAAATTGCAATCATGTAATTTTGGATTTGTAAATTTTCATTACTGCGATTGTTTTCAGCAATTTTTTTTTTTTTTTTGTACAATAACAATTTTTATTTAATTTTGGAAATAAATTTGGGAATAATTAAATTGCAAAATCCAGCAAAAGTCAACCATGAATAAAAATATTTGTTTGTATGGAAAGTAAGGCCCTACATATTTGTTTGTATAGAAAGTAAGGCCCTACATACATCAAATTGTCTTTAAATTAAGTGGTAGCAGAAGAATTATTGTTGAACTTTTAAGAGGTAAGCTTAGATATTAATGCAATACTTGAATGCAGTGATCAATTTTGAGTTCTTTTTTATCCCAACAATTTGTGACATTTATGGCTGGTGATAAGCACAAGTTTCAGTTGTTTATTGCCTCAATGAGAATCTGTCACCTTTTGTTGCATATCATATCTAATCCTCTCTACCTATTGTGATGAAGGCCTACCTGAAGGAGCTAGCTTAATTGCTGGCCAATAGAACAGCTTTTAAGCTAGTTATTACATAATTGTATATTACACAGTGGTATATAATTTATGCCAATAATTACATAATTACCAATACACAATTACCAGCAATACATTTTCATAGTAAAATGATCAACGATACAACACTAAAAAGTATAATTTTTATAAATTTTATTATAAAAATTATACTTTTTAGTGTTGTATTGTTGCTCATTTTACTATGAAAATGTATTGATGGTAATTATGTAATTATTGGCATAAATTATATATCACTGTGTAATATGCAATTATATAACAGCAATATCATCTATGAACTATATACCTAAAAAAAATATACATTTACCCTGAAAGTATAAGATTATATACAAAATATCTGTAGCTGAAGCAATAAAATTGCACACAAAATATTTAGATTTTGGCATTAAATAACTCATGGAAGTTGATCTGCTGCTACACAAAATCAACCAATCAGCCAGTGCTATTCAAGTTGCACTTTACTTCACTCTCTTGACATCAGGCAGAGATCAAAGTGCAGTGTCTGTTCCCCTAACCTTTAATTACAATGGAAATATTAACTGTTTCCCTACAAGAAAACTTTGGTATTCATTAACTTAGCAGCTACTACTGCTTTCAGTTGAAATTTATAAAATCTTTTTCTTAAAACAATTTTTCAGGAAAATAGATTTCTCAAGTTTAGTAGCTAATATTGCACTTTCTAGTATTGAAAAAAATTTCCTTCCTAACCTTTTGTTTGAAGCAGTGTGGAATGCCAACATCTTGATTATGTCATTAATTTCTCTTCAAGTTACATGTGCTATCCATTTTAGTTGTTTCTGTTGTTGATAGTCCTCAAGTGATATGCTTTGTTATTTGGTACAGTTCTTTGTTTATGATTCTGTAGCACCAGTCCAAGATGTTCAAAGAAGAATGATCTTTGCCAAGAGCCTCAGTCTTCACTTAGTCAAAGTCATTTTTAACCAAGACCACCAGGTTTCACTTACTCAAAGTCATTTTTACCATCAAAGTAATCAGATAATTGGTGACCTCCAACTGGGAAGGCAAGTAAAGAATGTAGCAACCATTTTGACATTACTAGCAAAGAGAGATAATTATGAGAAAGTGAACTAACTCTGTCATTTTTTCTTTACTATCTTAGTACAATACTTATCCACTGGGGTGGGGGGATATAAAATGAACATCAATGGTAACATTTTCTGATTGAGGAGACAGCTCATTCTGGGGTTTTGCTTTTTAACACAAGTCTGGTTTTGTTATAATTTGTGATCTTATACTTTTAAATCAAAATGTCCTCAAATTCAAATTGAATGATAAAACTAAAAGTGGTAGTGTTATCTGTTGAGGATAAATTAAATGATTGTGACATTGTGTAGAAGAAAATTCCAAAAACTGAGAGCCTTGCGAAATGTTACACCTTCAAAGTTCTAAAACATATTTTCCTGCACACAGACAGATGTAGTCAGGATCAAAGCATTAGTTAACTTAGACATTTAGATGCTGTAATGTAAACAGCACACAGGCATACTTTCAGTAAATTAACAAAGCCAGCAAATCAGAATTAATGATTCAACATTGGTCAATCAAGCAGAGGATTGATAATCTAAAATTGTGTTCACATTGAGCCTATCTCTACTGATATAAGCAGAGGAGAATCAGCATTTAAAAAGATAGTGGTATAGTGAGAAGAAAGAAGCAACCACATTGACGGACCAGGAGTGAAACATCTGCACAGTAAAATTCCACTTCCTGACAAGGAATTTGATATAAGTAACATTCCATTGATTGATAATTGGATTTATTTGTAAATACAATCTTTGTATACTAAAACTAAATACAAAAAGCTTTCATGTGTGATTTATGATCAGTGCTTGCTGTTCCCATAACAAATTAATTGCTCCAACAGAGACTCTGTTTTTTTTCTTTTCCCCAGTGCTAGTGTTCTGCCTGATAAATAGTTGTTATTGTTTGTCTTATAAATTCATTTTTATGTTTATTCATGTTTCTATAGTTAGAGGTGTTGCTAACTTAGGGCCAATGAGATAAATTGTAGCTATCACACCCTCTACAGAAATATATTATAAGGAAATTACCATTTAGTAATATTTGAAACTGATGAAACTTTGTTTCTGTTAAAAATAAACTGGACAAAACCTTAAACAAACCATTAGAAAATGTTTTTTGATGATGTAAATGTTAAATTTATTTCAGAAAATTACTTTTTGCTTCTTTCCTTTTTAATAATTTAGGTATTCAGTTATCCAGAATTTTGAATTATTCAAACATTTTTCAGCACCTGTCCCAAGGTGTCCAGATAATCATGGCAGGACTGTATAATTGTCAGAAGATAGTGTTTGTTAAGACAGATGATAGTAGACCTGTTTGTAAAGAATGTTGGATTCATTCCTTTCCCAAGAGTATTAGTGTAAAAGTGACTGAAATTTGAAATTAATTCACTGGTTTTGTTTCCAGAGATGTGAACTATTATGAAAAAGTAGCACCAATAAACTTGATTAGGCACCCAGATGAATGTTGGCCAGCCTTGATGATATCAGGCCATTGAAGCAGATAACTATCTAGTCATTTATCACTCACCCAATTCCAGGTCAGTCCATAAGCACCTCTATATATCAAGTATATTTTAGTACTATTAGGTGGCATTTAAGCTAGCTCCTGTGCAGGGCTCTTGATTGGACTGTAAACATGCACACATCCCAGTTGGCTGTTCAAGACTTCCATTACTGCGGTTGGTCGCTGAAGTGACCACTTCAATCCAGAGCTAACCTTTTCCTATGTTGTGATTTTTTAGATCATAAGGCAGCCAAGATCAAATCATCACAGGTATTTTCATTTTAGGCAAGTCCAAGCAGGGCGATGATGTACAAGGAAAAAAAATAACACTTGAATAAATTGAACAAAAGTAAACATTGATTTTATAACAATTTTCATACAGTAATTGGTTTATGTCAGAGTTTGCATGCAATGACTTATCAACCCAGCCCACATCTAAATCAAAAGTGATACTCCCATCAACCTCGCACAAATCTGGTTTGCTGTTTTGGTAAAGTTTGGCACAAGGTTGAAGTCATAGCTTCTATTCAACAGGTAATCACGTAGCCTCTCTTCTGTCTCATCTCCAGCCCATCTCACTCTTGTCTGGTGAATTCGCTTTGCTCATTCGTAATTATGGACATTTACCCAAATCTGACATGGAGTAATGGTGAAGTAGAGACATTTCAGTGAATCCCCTCCGGTGTACATCATACCTTTTCAGTGAGAGTGGATGGCCTATCTATCCCCTTCTGTCTCAAATCAAGTTCACATCTGTTGTTTAATGAAAATTAAATTTCTGCTTGCAGCTGTGCATCAGTCAAACATCAACCCACAAGTTTGAGTCATTTTTCCATTGTACAAACTGCTCAACATACAATTCAAGCCATTTATATGTGAATTTAATCTTCAATTTTTTTCCAGTGGTTCATTTGGTATTAATTCTTCTTGTTTCCATATCTCTCAGGACATAACATTTTCTTATGTTTTAACAACACCTTCCATTTTACCATGGCAATGATAAATAATATCATAGGGCCTTTGGTTTGTTTATGAGTTTGAGAGTTCCTAAGTCTTTGCATATTCTCAGTATTAGATGCTCTCCTGGCTGCCATTTGACCTAGGTTTTCATTTGCACAGGACTTTTTTTTCCTCACTACAGCATTGACTCTATTGATTGCAATTTGGTCCTCTGTTGGTAGAGATTTCTTTTACTGCTGCTGTATGTGAGAGGCAATAATAAACTACATAAGAACTCAAAATTAATCACTACATTTAAGTATTGCATTAATATTCAAGCTCAATAATAATGCTTCTGCTGCTACTTAAAGACAATTTTGTGTACATATGTCCTTACTTTCTGTACAAAAAATATTTTTATCTCATGGGTGACTTTCACTAGATTTTGTAAATAATTTCAATTATTCCCAAATTTATTTCCAAGCTATAAATATTGTTATTGTAAAAAAAAAATTGTTGCAAAAAATCACATAAAAAATTGCCAAAAAAAATCACAATAATGAAAACGTGGGTCTCCAAAATTTCAGGATTGTGGGTCTGGATCCAACCCAGAATGTTTTTAATTTTCTCACAGAGTCACCCTGATTCCAAAAGAGTGATATGTTAGGCTATGGTCTCTAGGAGTAAAGATGAAAAAGTGTGACACACTGACATTCGCATTTATTTATATAGATAAGTAGTGATATTGTCCGTCGCCAGCTTGCTAGGCTTGTCACATAACTTACAGCACCTGGTATTCCCCAGTGATCACCCATTTGAGTCCTGACCAGGCTCAATGTTGCTTAACTTTGATGATCAGACAAGAACTGGTGTTTCAATGCAATATAGCCATAAACCCAATTATTTATAACAAGGAAAAATAACAACAGTCAGAAAAATGTAAACAGACCTTCTCTTTAACTCCAAAAAGAAACTAAAGGTTGTTGCAATAGGCTGTCTCTACACACGTCAGGAGCACCTTTTTCCTCTTTGGCATTCTCAAATACAAGGCTCTTTTAATTGGTTAAGTCACATGACTGGACAAGCATACTAATTTTGGAAAAGGAAGGAATGTTATGCCAACAATTTGTGACATTTATGGCTGGTGATAAATACAAGTTTCAGTTGTTTATTGCCTCATTGAGAATCTGTCACCTTTTGTCTAGAGATTCTGAAGATTTCAATCCTCATAGTTTTTAACACTTGTGGATTTAACATTCTTCAATTTTGGCACTCATTACTTTGATGCACATAGGTTTTATATTTGTGATATTTAAAGCTCATGTTGTTATGCCAGCCAGGTTCATTACATTCACTTACACACGAATACCCATAAGAAAAGGCATGAATCCATCTCCTCCCCACCAGCTATAGTTTAAATAGTAGGATTTGTATCTGAAAAAAATCGTTGTTATTCTCAAAAAATGCAATATTCTCTTGCAAAAAAAGAAAGAAAAATTTATTCTTACACTACCAAAAATGTTTCAGCTTTAAATAACCCACAAAGGGTTGATAAGATATAAAAAACAAGTCACTCAATCATATTGCTGTATGTTTGATGATTGTGAGAAATGAGGTTTTTGTAACACTAATGTTTTGACATGAGTTGGTTTTAATATGCTTAGGTTTTGGTGGGTTTCTAAAATTTTATGTGAAAAAAAAACAAACACTGCTCTGCTCCTTAAATTAAGATATCAAGAAATGAGGTGTTTGGACATGACTTTTTTGATAAGCCTTGATTCTGAGCCTGATTATGGCAGTGCTTCAATATCTGTAATAAAAAAGGAATGATCTGGAAAAAAAAAAGATTGAGAAGAAAACTCACTTCTGTATTATTTTCAACCAATCAGGGGAACATAATTTGAAACCTGCAATAATTTGAAGATAACTTTCTGAGCATACCAATACAAATATAAGCAAGATCAAAGGGGGATTAAATTACTATTTGTTCATAACATATGACTGAGTGGATACTCAGTATCTTGTATCCCTACACCACTATTATGATGACTATTGATCCAGACAGGTCATAATATTAAGAACACCTAGTGAACCTTAACTGTTTCCTTCTACTAAGCTACATTTTTTTAACCTTGTCAACTAATTTAAGACCTCAAGTTTCTCAAGTCCAGTAGCTGTTATTACTCTTTCCAGTATTGATGGGGGGTTCTTTCCTTGCCTTTTGTTTGAAATAGTGTGGAATGTCAACATCTTGATTATGTCATTATTTTCTCTTTGACTTACATGGTTTACTCTAATAAATATCGGAAAAAATCTTTTAATCATTTCATCCCAAGCAAGACAATAATGTCACTAAGATGCAAGGGGTTACTGGGAATGAAAGTGTTGTAACTTAAGGAAGGTTACTGAATAGAATAATCACACAAAGGTTGGTAATAAACAATAACACTTAGGACATGAACAACATATATAAGATTCACCAGCAACACAAGAAGTAGTCAACTGCTAGAAGTGAGTCAAGTGATTTCTGCAATGAATCTCCAACTGCAGACCTCAGACAGTATCTACCAACTGCCCCACACAGTCACATGTGGCACAAGGCCAAATTTAATGTGGGGTTCTCCAGCCTGTAGGCTCAGCCAAAAATTCCCTGTAAATCCCATATAAAAATGGGATCGGGTCAACATAGCCCCGTATGGGAATGCTCTCTGCCCAGAGGCAGAGAGTTTAACCAGCCCAGCTGAAGACAAATCTCTAACTGCAGGACGGCCGACCAACACATACAGTATTCACTACTGTATTTATGGAAATGGGGGCATACCCATTATCGTCCGTAGGTATGCTACAACAGAAAGAGAATGAGAAGACTTTATTGAGGAAAAAGGTCAACAAAAGAACAGGTTTCAGGAAGACAGAATATTTCAATTGACATTACGTTTTATTTTTTAAGGGTTATAGATGGCAGAGGAGCAAGAAACCGAAAGAGAGTTCCACAGATGAGAAGTGTGTGAAAAGAAATGGTTAGAATAGAACTTACAGTTAGATCCAGCTAATTCAACAGTGTAACTCTGAGACCTAGTTGCAAATTTATTAACACACTTAAATTAATGCAGTCAAGGTACCAAGAAGGAGAGCAATATTTATTTTGTAAAGATACAAAAATGTGGCACAAGGCCAAAAGGGTTGATGGGAAAGGCTGGCCTTCTTCTGTCTTATAATTCAACTTAGCTAGCCACAATTACTGACCCAAACATACCACAGTATTCCTTACAACAAAACAACATATTCTTACTTACCATTCTTACTACATTCACCATAATACCTCAAAGTCTCTATGAAGTCCTAGCTAGTCTCTATATGTAGAATTTTTGTCAATAATAAAAACAACAATTAAAAAAAAATCAAACCCCAATGAGGAGAGTTCACTAGAATGAAAATATTGATAAAAAAGACAAAAGAAAACCATGTGATGGGAAAGTGACTGAAGTCAAGATACTAATAACATTACATACACTTTTTTTGATTTTATCTTGAGATATACAGCAGGAGCCCCAGACCAGAATTTTTTTCCTAATAGGAAAATCTCTATAGGTTTAGATGTTTATGGCTCTGATACTAATGGCTGCTGTTACTCCTGGATTTGAGTTTTTTGAGCACACATGAGTGTATATGAGTGCATGTGTACTTATGAATATGTAAGTAAAGTATGTATGCATATCCATGTGTGTTCATACACTATATAAACCAAATATAGTAGGTCATAACAGCAACTAATTTTTCATTCGTTTACATGCACAGTAGATCCACTAAATCAAAAACTAGGTCTTTTTTTGCAATAAATGTTTCAGGTAAAAAAAGAAAATAATTATCTTTACTTTAAACCTATAAATTATATCTAATACCTATCAAACAAAATCAGCAACAGATCCTTGTCAATTTAATCACTTACAGAAATCAACTTCTCAAGTAAATGTTATTTTTACTTTGTCAAATTCAAAGAAACATTTTATTTCTAAAAACAAAATCTCTTAAGAATGCCTTTATTTCAAAGAAATATAAATATTTTGAAGCTTTGGTCTGTAGAGATTACAACAGAAGCTATGGCAAATGTTTTCATCTCTGGTAACATCAAATTTCCTCAGAAATCTTAGCATAAGACACACAAAGATCAAAATGGGTTACAAGATTCTCAGAATGATATCAAGTGTTCATTCAGGGTACAGTTGTTTTCAGAAGTGGTGGGGACAGGTAAATGTCAGGGACAAGCTGTTATTTTAGATTTGGTTAGTGGGGAACATTTTTTTGAGTTGCTATTAAGTGTTTGGGAGATAGTTTTGCAGTCATTTTGTAATGAGATAAGAACAAAACTAGATAGATAGATAGATAGATAAGAATAAAACAGATAGATAGATAAGAACAAAACTAGATAGATAGATATGAACAAAACAAGATAGATAGATATGAGCAAATGTAGATTGATAGATAAATTGGGGGGGGTAGACATAAAAAGAAACAAATAACAACTAGTGTTTAGCAAGAGAGGCAAGAGAAAGATAAAAGATGAAAATGATAGAAAGAAAAATTAAAAAAACAAATCTTGTACTTCCCTCCCCCCTGCTATGTCCTTGTAAAATGATCTGTTTGTAATTGGGTGTATAGCACCCTGAATGGTAACTGCAACTCCTACCTTCTCTCCTTCCCCACACAGGTAAGAGAAATTGGATCTTTTGCAGTTCTCACTGCAGGCCCTATTTGATATATCAACCCTTACTTTTGTGACAGTGGTAAGTGTGTGTTGGAGGGAGGGTCCTCATACTACCACTAACCTAGAGGAAATATTGGACTAAAAATGAAGATAGCGATATTAGTCTCTATGCATAGAATGATGCAATAAATATAGATTATTATCTTGATGTCACAGTAGGGAAGAGGTCTTTTGGTAGAATTTTCAAAGTTACAAGTTTACGTCCTTAGTTTTGTCTCCAGATATTGTCATTTTCATTTTGGACAATTTTACCAAAAGTTAAAAAAGAGTACTTATGTCACACTTGTCTAGTTGAGTTTCTTTGATTTAACCAACTTTTAACTTTTTTCTTTCTTATACAATATGTTCACCCAATACAAGGCACAACTGCTACTCAAGTTAGAGTGTTACTGGATGGGGTTGTTTTATGGATGCAAGAATTGTAGATTATCAGGAAAAATAAGATAGATAACAGTTAACCTTAGACTTGAGGAGGTTAGTGGTTGGGGAAGCATCCTTTCAGGGGTCTTTTCTACAAAGTAACAGTTTTCTGGAAGAATCTGTCTAAGTGGAACTAACTTCTTAACAATGGAATATGAAGGGAACAATGCTAATTCAACCCTGTGTATGTGGAAGAGCAGATCCTAGTTGTAAAGGTCTGAGCTGCTGGAACTGAAGAATGTAGCATTTCAGAATATTTTCTATGGAAATAGCAATAAGTTGATGATGTTGTGTCTGTGTGCGGGCGAAAAGGTTTGGAGGGTGTGAAAACAACTTATCTCCTACAAAGCCACATAAACACTTTTAAACTCTGTCAAGGCTGGAAAGAGAGATCTGGGCAGCTCCAGCCCAGATATGACGAGAATACTCCATTTTTGGCCTGGTTTGACTCACATAAGATAGAGCATGGCAGGTGGAGTTAGGTATTTTCTGGAGAGGTGAAAGGTGCCAACTAGCTTTCCTGGGTCTTTATTGATGTGTCATATATACGAGTTCCACTTAACCCTGCATTAGTCCCCACAGATTTCAAAAAATGGATAGTCTTCTGGCAATTGTCTCCCATGATAACTGTACGATACTGCATGCTATAAAAACTCCCACTGAGTGAGGAGAGTAATGGGAGGAAAACAGAAAACTAGGAATA